TTTTCCATTATCTAGATGATAATAAATTGCTACTAGGTTGCCAATCAGGGTTCCGTTCTCTACATAGTACGCTAACGGCTTTGCCTGAGGCAACAAATGCTTCATCAGTAAACATCGACAGTGACCTTCTAAATAGCGTTGTCTTTATTGACCTTGCTTAAGGCAATCGACACCATTGATCATGAGATCACCTTGCGATAGATGTCATACTTGGGTGTCCATCCGGCAGCTATAAAGTTGTTCTCGTCTTACTTAAGAGGCCGAACCCAGAGATGTAGTGTCAGTGGTAAACTATCATCTGCTCGTACTCTCCGTTGCGGCGTGCCACAGGGTAGCATATTGGGTCCTTTGCTGTTCTTAATTTACATTAACGATCTTCACTTCTGCCTGCGGGACGCCGTATCAAGAGTGTTTGCTGATGACACCAAACCTACGTTATCTGCTAAGACATTAACAGAGCTTAAGCTAACTCTAACCACTGAATTCAATCAGGATTATCAAGCCAATTTTCTTGAACTTCTATGTGCTCATTTTGAAACAATTCACTTGTATTAACAAGATATTTTGCTGCTTCCAACACTTTTCTTGGTCTGCCAGTCTCAAATTGATAATGATCGATGCTTGTAACTCAACATTCGTTTAAGTTTGATGGGGATAGTTTGTGATTCATTGATTGACCTCGCTAAAAGTGCTTACAGTTGAACTTTCATCAGCCATGAGTAGATAATTTTCCACCTCTTTGAAGTTCACGTATTTCCATAAATGGAATACGCGGAGAAATTAATATTTCTTCTTCAGGTGTCAAGTTTAAACATTGTGGTCTCACAAGGAATCCCATTTTATTTGCTTTAGAACAGATGGGTGGCTTCCAAACTACTTAAGTTTGAGTGGCAAGTAGAGCAAATCGATTTTGGATTATCTGTACTAGAAGTAGAAGTTATGCATGCTGCAAGCAACGTTTTGGAACATTTAGGATATTTGTTTGCTTCACACTTTCTGACAGATGACCCATACCATAATTCATCACAGCAAGTACATAAATATTCAGGACCACACTTAATGTTATCATGGAAAGTTTGAATGACTATTGCCATGGCTTGCATCTCTCTATAGAATCTTTTGCATTCAAATTCGTGTTTTTCATTAACTGCTGTACGACTTGGCCTTTTAGTAGCTGGCTTAAGTAGGTCATGGTCACTTGGGTTCAACCCAGACATCGAGGATCTCTTTCAATTCTGTGCATTTTTGTTCACTTCTTGTACATGCTGAGGGTTACTCTTTTACACTTGGCAAATGCCTGCCTATTTATTTCTCTGATATGATCAGAATTTGATTCTTTGTGTCTGTTATATGCCCGCCCTTAAGATTCTGTTGTTTTTTTCAATATTGTCTGATCTTTTTGCTTGCAGAGCTCTGTTTTGCTTATTTCTGAACTCTTTATTTCTTTTTCTTGCTGGCATGTATTCCTTGAAATAAGCTATCTTTTCTGTTCTTTGATTACAGCTCTTGTTTCATTATCATTTTTCGTTCTACAGTGATCCATCTCAACTGTGCTGGTTGATCGTTACAATTACATTGTTTGTCGTTGCCTCTCCATTGAAAGGAACAGTTGAAACAGTGTATTTCATCAAGATGTCCAATATTTATGACAGTAATATCAGTTTCTGAGCTAACTGGGCTGATATTAGTAACCGATGCAAATCCTGAATTAGATTCTGTAATGTGAATTGTCAAGTTTAATGCATCAGCAACTGCTTGCATAACAATTATATCAGCCCATGTACCCTGGTGTGACATATAAGCTAAATACCTTAACCATGCATGGTCTGTATTACTTTCAATGAATTTTTCTGGATTGTTTTTCATATATTGAACACCAATACTACGAATATTCATGTGATAGCTAGGTTCACCATACAACTTATGGGACACCACTCTAAAAAAACAATCACCTGCAAAACCAACGTCTAATATTCTCCAGGTATGTTGTGCTAATCGAGATTGTAACTGTAAGGATAATACTTGCGCTACCTCGGGATTGCGCAATAGAGCCAGGGTCTCTGGGGAATTACACGTGCCTCTTTACTTTGTACTTTTGGCTCATAGACCTTTTGCGTTGTGTTTCAATAAAAGTTGATTGAAATTTCAAGACATGGTGGCAGCGGTCAAACAAGAAAAATGCTGAAACTAAGCCCTCCGCAGAGATTTGACTTTTCAAACATGTGTTCAAGTCCGTTGCCTTAGCAGAGGAAGATGGAAAGAAATTTGACGTGATATTGGCAAAGTTTGACGAGCATTTTGTCCCAAAACGGAATGTAATTCACGAGCGTGCATGTACTCATCAACTGAATCAAAAGCAAGGAGAGTCGATCGAACCATTTGTGCGGACTCTTTATGAGTTAGCCGAACACTGCGATTTTGAAGATAGTCGAGACTAGCATATACGGGATAGGATCGTCATCGGAATTTTGGATAAAAACGTGTCTAAAAAGCTGCAACTGCAGTCGGATTTAACGCTAGAAAAAGCAATTCAAATGGCTCGCCAGTCGGAAATGATCAAATCTCAAGTTACAGATCAGAGCTCGCTCGCAGCAAGTAATTTACAAAAAGTCCAGCGCAAAAGGAAGTCAGTCTATTCTCGTTCAAGGAATGCACATGGAAAAGGAAAGAGAGATGCTTCATTCCAACAGCAAAGTCAAAAGAAATGTAGCAGATGTGGTCTCCACTACATGAAGCCCGAACACTGCCCAGCAAAGGATAAAAAGTATTTGAAATGCCACTTTGCGGCAGTATGCTGCTCTAAGTCGGTGAATGTGGTGAGAAGTGATAGTGATGGAGCTACCGAAAGAAGCCAGGCAGATCATTGGTTTCTAGGAGCGTTATCTGATGATTCACATCAAGATGATAAAAGGAAAGTCCAACTTAAGGTTAGCGGTAGACCAGTGACATTTCAAATTCATACGGGAGCAGATATTTCTGCAATATCCAAGTCTACCTTTAACATTTTGCCACACCAGCCTAAGTTACACCCATCGAAGATAGCCCTTTTCAGTCCAGGAGGCGAATTACAGTGTACGGGTCAGTTTACAACAAACGTGACACATCGTAACAAAAGCTATGAAGTTGATATCTTCGTGATAAGTGGAGAACATGAGAGTAATTTTCTTGGAAGAAAAAAAGCCTGTGAAATGGGTTTAGTTGCCAGACTAGAGGAGGGGACGCAGAGGTGTTTGGAGACATCGGTCTGTTCAACTGTGAACCGGTAAAGATCTAGTTAGACGAAAATGTCGAACCGTACTGTATCAGCTCAACCAGGAGAGTTGCCTTTCCTCTGATGCCGAAAGTGAAAGATGAGCTTAGGCGGATGGAGCAAGCATCGAACGTGTAAGAGGGCCAACCGAATGGTGTGGATCCATGGTACCAGTTCAGAAGAGCAATGGAAAGTTAATGATTGGTGTTGATCTGAGAAAGCTGAATTGTGCTGTGAAACGTGCAAGATTTCTGCTGCCCACCCTGGAAGATATCGCACCCAAGCTCGCCGGTTCTCGATATTTTTCCAAGTTGGATGCATCGAGTGGATTCTGGCAAATTCCACTACATCCAGATAGTGCCATGTTAACCACCGTTATAACTGCGGTGGGGAGGTTCTGCCTCAAGCGAGTACCTTTTGGAATCACCAGTGCCCCAGAAATTTTGCAATATCTAATGACGGACTTGCTAAAGGATGAAGGATGTGAAGCAATCATGGATGATTTAATTGTCTACGGAAAGTCAGCGGAGGAGCATGAGGAAAACTTACGGAACACTAAGAATTGTTAAGAAGGCATGACTTAAACTGAACAAGGCAAAATGTGAGTTTAAGAAAGACAAGTTAACTTACTTTGGAGGTGTCGTCTGTGCAGAAGGGGTAAGTCCCGACCTTTAAAAGGTGAAAGCCATCAGAGAACTACCAGCACCAACTAACGTGCCAGAACTACGCAGAATAAATGGCATGAAAAATTACCTTGGGAGGTTCATACCCAACCTTGCAACAGAAATCCACCCCATGACAGAGCTTCTAAAGTTTGACAGAGTGTGGGCCTGGGAACAACCTCAAGAGGAAACATTCTTGAAGGTCAAAGAGACAATTTCTAGTTCCAATGTGTTAGCATTCTACGATCTAACGAAGCCAACTGTGGTAGGCGCGAACCCCAGTAGTTATGGAATCGGGGGAGTCCTGATGCAAGATCGTGATGGTGAACTCCGTCCAGTTGCATTCTGTTCTAGAACCCTCACAGGAGCTGAAGGCAAATATGCAATGATCGAGAAGGAATGCCTAGCAGCAGTTTGGACATGTGAAAGGCTATCGCGTTACTTAGTGGGACTACCAACCTTCAAACTCGTTATAGACCACAAACCTTTAGTTCCGTCGATCAACCAGAGGGACCTTGACAAGACACCATTACGTTTCCAGACTCCTGATGCGACTGATGCGATTGAACCCTTATGCAGAATACGTACCATGCAAGCAGATGGTAGTTGCCGATACCGTGTCTAGAAGCCCTCTTGAGTTGGAACAAGAACCAGACACCGTGGAAGATGTCCAAGCTTTTGTAGACTTGCTCGAGTCCACAAGACCAGCATGAGACGCTCAGATGGAGAAAATCAGAAAAGCAAGCATTCAGGATGAACAGCTCCAAACAGTGATGGATCTGACATCAAAAGGGTGGCCCACACACGTTGAAGAAGTGCCACTCCATGTGTGAGAGTTCTTTGAGTCGAGAGGACATTTGTCAATAAGTGAGGGCCTTCTAACATACGATAATCGCATCGTAATACCGGCAGACTTGAGAAGAGAAATCCTGGAACGCATCCATACAGGACACCAAGGTATCACAAAGTGTAGAGAGCGTGCCAAAATGTCTGTGTGGTGGCCAGGAATTTCTAAAGAGATCAAAAGAAAGGTAGAACTGTGCCACTTTTGCCAAGAAAACCACCCATCTTAAAGGAAAGAACCCCTGATGACCACTCTCTTACCTGATAGACCTTGGCAGCAGGTACCTACAGACCTGTTCGAGTTAGGTGGTAGAAAATACCTAGTGGTAATAGATAACTATTCACGATTCATTGAGATAATCAGCTTGTCCGAGACGACAAGCCAAACTGTCATTCAAAAGCTCAAGTCAGTATTTGCTCGGTGGGGCATTCCACAAGAATTAGAGAGCGACAATGGTACGCAGTTCAAAGCAGCTCTTTTCGATGATTTCAAAATGAAGTATGGCTTCAAGCATTCTTCGTCAAGCCCGCACCACCACCAGGCGAACGGTGCCGCAGAAAGTGGAGTACGCATCTCCAAGCATATTCTGAAACAAGAAGATCCATTCCTAGCACTCATGGCATACCGTGCAACTCCAATCCCAGCTACTGGGAAGACTCCAGCGGAGCTTATCATGGGAAGACAGATACGTACTACCCTCCCGACAATGACAAGGATATTAGAACAAAAACCTCCAAGCAGCGCAGGAGTAAAGAAAAGGGATGCTCAAACCAAACGAGAATACAGGAAATGTTTGATAGACGGAATGGAGCGAGAGAATTACCCCAACTCCAACAAGGACGGCTAACGCTCCGACGAAGGGCTAACGCTCGAAGCGTCAGCTTTTATAATCGTAACGGCGCCCAATTTACCATTTCAACTTTGTTGATATATTCAAATTATTTCGTTACCCCTACCGACGCAGCCCCAACAGTTTCTTTAGAAACTATCAGCTTTTAACAATTCAATAAGATTGTTTGGATTATTTCCCTGAGTAACAACAGGTGCTGGGTATAAGTCAATATCACCTGAAGTAAACCACTTTGCCTTAGAAAGACAATGCTTGTAATTTCGTTTCTTTCGCTTTATTCAATAACATTGAACAACATGTAAAAATTCATCGTGAAAGATAATTGATACTTGAGATGTCTTTTTATGCTTCGCAGTTCTTGTTTTGAAACATAAATATAATCAATAACAAAAAAGAACCTTGAAACCTTTTGCACGAGTGATTCCAACTGGTTTACTTCTACGAGGGGGGCGTTGCGATTTTCGGTTTTGCGGATTTGGCTATTTTTCAGATCGGTTTCTCGGTTTTTGTGCTGAAAAACTTCGGTTTTTCAGTTTTGATGTTCATTGCGGTTTGCGGATTTTCCGTTTTTTAGCGGTTGGTTTTCGGTTCTTGCAAAATAACGAACGCGTTTTCGGATTTGATATCCGATGAGGTTTTCGCTTTTCCTATTTGACCTATTTGAGTTTGATCTGAGCGGTAATTACGCGCCCCCACAGTTCTCGAATAGCCGCTAAACGCAATTTTGTGTGAATTTCTCTAATTTAACTAGGCTTCATTACCAGCTGCTGAGTCCGCAGAGACCACGCTCGAGCTCTTCGAGAGAGTAGCTGAAGTAAAACCTTTAATCTAAGCAGATACTAGAAGATACGAATGTCGAGTCCATGGCATTCACAAATACTCTAATGAGATTAGTGTATTTTACTCTGAATGCATCACTTGTGACCACTTTACCGAATCGATCTGGGTTTTAATCATCCTCGGAGACCCAGGGCCTGTGAGTCGATTTCAAGTTAGGACGGAAGAGCCCCTGGGGACATTCTCTTACAAGACTAGTTCCAAACGGTCGCAGTCGTTCTGGCATCTGATTGGTGCCAGAAAATCTTTGTGTTTTTCTACCCAATCAGAGTGAAGTGTGCTTTAGAGTCCTTGCGTTTGTTTTAACACGGACATACACTGTTTACAAAAAGCTCAGTTGCTTGCCATCTTTGTTTGTGCCGTGCGACGAAGCTTTGCTCGAGCTGAAAGTTTTCAGTCTCAGCACACAATGTAAGAGAAATCGATCAGATTTTTCGCGAAATTCTTACCTGAAATTATACTGAGTACTTTCGCAGGTATCACAAGAGAACGTGTTTAAAAGTTTGCGAGGTTCGTATAAAACAGAATGGTTGTAGGCGTTAATATGTCGCTTTAAACGTTAGACGAGATGTAAGCTTAAATCTTTCGATATTTTTTGTATAATTTGGTGTGAAGGAAACTTTGCCAATCCCGTGAAGTTATTTCTTTGCACGGGCTACGCAGGTATGTCAAGCAACTGGCGCTTACGCAGCTTTCTGTACGCGCCAAAATCTAATATAATCTCCTTCGGCTGGTTGTTTAGGTAAGGTTCAGGGTTTTTTTTACGATAATGAACAATCCGGGTGAAAATGTTTCAGATCGTTGTCGAGTATGCTCCTCCGTTTTTTGTCACCATTAAGAGAAAAAGAAATCTAAATGGCGAGTTTATAAAAATATTTGAAGAAGTTTTCAGTCAAAAGGTTCTACCAGACGATGGTCTTCCGCGTGCAGTTTGCGACACTTGTCGCTACAGAATTGAAACATCATGGGAACGTAACTTTAAGTCTTCAGCTATCATCCCTACCGAAGCATCTCTCCTTCTTGTGTACCACCCTCATTGGACTGTAACCGAGAATGACTGCATGCGTGATCATTTGTTTCAATCACTCCTTCTCGCCGAGTCTCGCTTCCCAAACTGTGGTTTGATTGTTGCTGGGGACTTTAATCCGTTAGATTTAAAATCGATTCAAAGGCAATTTCGGTTGAAGCAGATTGTTAAAAAGCCAACCCGGAAAAATGCGATCTTGGACCTAGTGTTCACTAACATGCATGGTTTCTATGCTGATCCTCAACACTTCCACCTTTTGGACTCTCCGATCACCACACTTTCACCGTAGAGCCTAAAGAAAGAATAGAGTCTCGTCAATCTCCAAATTTTGTACTGAAGCGTGACAAGCGGGGAAGTCGGCGAGCCGAGCTAGGACGGTACTTTGGTAGTATGGATGGGCAAACACTGTTTTGTTCTGCTAGCTGTTGCCTGGATATGCTTGACATACCTGACATACTTGACATACATGATGTCATTCACACCGGTCTTAACATCCTTATGCCTGTTAGAAGAGTTCGTGTTAACTCGTCTGACGTCCCATGGGTGACGCCCCACCTTAAGTCGCTGATTCTAAAGCGACAGAGGGCTTTCCTTGAACACGGTGTGGAGTCATCTAGCTACAAACTCTATAGGAACGCAGTAGATCGTGAAAGAAAATCATGTAAAGCCTCCTTCTATAAGGTCAAAGTCGAGCACATGAAGGAAGAAAACCCTAAGCTGTGGTGGAAAGAGGTTAAACTTCTAAGTGGATCCCAATCCAACTCGGGCAATGTCATCAATCACATCCACATCAAAGAACTTGAGGACTGTAACAATCATGAACTTGCAAACACCATTAATCGGGCTTTCCTTGAACCACTCGAAGAATATCGCTTGGAACAGCCGCTGTCCAAGTTCCCAGTCCCTGCTGACTCGCCAAGGCTGCATGAGGTATCCACGTTGAGGATAATGAAGCTGCTGGCTACACTGAATCCATCAAAGGCGTGTGGCCCGGATGAAATACCTAACTGGCTTCTTAAAGAGTATGCTGAGCTCTTGGCTTACCCAGTCTCTAACATCATCAACTCTTCGTTTAACGAACAGCGTCTCCCGAAGATCTGGAAGTTCGCTGATGTTTCACCATTGCCAGAGGTGAAGCCGGTGGAGGATCTAAAGAAACACCTTAGACCGATTTCTCTCACCCCTTGCCTTTCGAAAGTTGCTGAAGAGTGTGTCGTAGTTGAAGGGTGTGTCGTTGCTGAGGAGTGTGTACGTGAAATCTTCCGTACTTAAAGTTCTCGACCCAAGCCAGTATGGCGCTTTGCCGAAGTCCTCCACAACTCAAGCACTCATACAAGTGCTTCACTATTGGACCAAGGGATGTGATGGCAATGATCTAAGGTATTTAACTTGGTCTTCAACAATCGACAAGAGGTGAAATGACAATGACCAAGGGACTAGAAGAGAATCCGTGGCCTTTCGAGCACAAGAATTTGAACACTCTAGGAAACAGTTGAAAGAGTAAGCTTTTTCCAAACCCGTCGGGAACTGTTCGAAACTATCTCTCCTTCCCACGACGTTCTCGACAATAAGTTTTAGTTCATATTTTAATTCACTAACCGGAAACACAGCTAAGCTTTCTCTAAGCGTTTACTGGAGATCATCCACCACCTTAACGTTCTCTGCAACCTTGGCCATATTGTAAAAGACTTTACTACAAAGCGAAGATTAGATTTTGGTGCGCACATAAAGCTTCGATCCGTAAGCTTTGATCCGTAAGCTTCGATCCGTAAGCCTCAAGGTTCAAGCCGTAAGCTTCGATCCGGCGACAAAAACAGAAGTATTGTTTACGCTGATAGGAGTCGTTGCCGGACCCCGCGTTCAGGTTCTTTTATCTCTTTCAATAGTGAATATGCAAACATGTAAATAGTTAACTACGATATTTTTATTGTTCTTATAGTAATTGTAGTTTTAATTAATTATTGATTGTAAATTTAGCCCTTTAATTCAGTTAATTCTGCAATGTGGCAAATAAACGGTATATTTACGTATAATGCACGGTCCTCGCAGTAGAGAGCGCTATTTATGCAATAGCGAAAATCAGACCTGAAAAAAATCAGGCCTGTACTGCGAGGATCGTGCATCATACGTATCTAATACCGCAGTTCAAAATATATGAACTACATATATTCATTGTAACCAAATGGTATATTATTATTATTATTTTATTGCTCGACATACCTGCGTGGCCCGTGCAACGAATTAACTTCACGTGATTGGCATATTTTCAGTAACAGAAAAATATACAAAAATTCTAGAAAGATTTAAGCTTACATCTCGTTTAACGTTTAAAGCGACATATTAACGTTTGATTGGGCCGTGCGACGGAGCTTTGCTCGACGTAGAAGGTTTCAGTCTCAGCACACAATGTAACAGAAATCGATCAGATTGTCCGCAAAAATCTTACCAGAAATTATACTGAATACTTTCGAAGGTATCACAAGAGAACGTGTTTAAAAGTTTGCGAGGTTCGTATAAAACAAAATGGTTGCAGGCGTTAATATGCCGCTTTAAACGATAGACGAGATGTAAGCTGAAATCTTTCTAGATCTTTTGTATAATCTACTGGTACTGAAACTTTTCCAATCCCGTGAAGTTGTTTCGTCGCACGGGCCACGCAGGTATGTCGAGAAACTGGCGCTTACATCTTTCTGTGCGCGCCAAAATCTAATCTCCTTCGGCTAGTTGTTTAGGTAAGGTTCAGTGTGTTTTTTTACGACAATGAATAATCCGGGTGAAAATGTTTCAGATCGTTGTCGAGTATGTTGTTCTGTTTTCATCACCATTAAGAGAAAAAGAAATCTAAATGGCGAGTTCATGAAATCATTTGAAGACGTTTTCAATCAAAAGGTTTTACCAGACGGTGGTCTTCCGCGTGCAGTTTGGGACACTTTAGAATTGAAACATCCTGGAAACGTAACTGTAAGAAAGAGGCATCGGTACGTATGATGCACGATCCTCGCAGTAGAGAGCGCTATTTATGCAATAGCGAAAAGAGGCATCGATAAAAATTTCCCGTGGGCAAAGTACCCAAACAAGAAAATCGAATTGTTGCTGTTTCCCAGTCTCTACTAGAGGAACATTTGTTAAGGTA